AGGACGCACACAAACCTTGTACAACAGAATTCTGGACTCATTTCTGTAGAAGTTCCTGAGTAGAAAGCCGATAAGTCTGCGTGACTTTGACACTTGTTTGGAGATATGTTCAGAAAATGATAAGTCATGTGAGTATTTCAGTCCTAGGTCCAATACAGATTCCAGTCGTAAGAGTGCATGGCCTTGAGTTGTCAGGTCAAGTTCTAAATTGTTGCAACCTATGCGGAGCCAGCCATATTTGTCGACATTAAACTGGAGTTGCTAGGTGTTGTCACACCATCTCTCCATTTTTTCCAATTCTTACTGTATGTCATTTATTGTTATTCCGAGATCTGTGTTCTTGCATTTATAGGTCGCTATTAAGTCATCTGCATATAGTATTGGTTTACCAACACTAAAGCGTTCACATATACTGTTTATATATATATTATGAATAGGAGTGGGCCTAATACACTTCCCTGGATTACACCACTACTTACTGGTTTAGGCCTTGAGATTACCGAGCCAACTTTCGTTATCTGACTTCGGCCACAGAGAAGTGATTTTATCCAGCTCAGGAGAGGGTCACATATCCCTAGTGAGCATAACCTGCTGACTAGCAGATTATGGGGGACTCTATCGAAGGCTTTTGTTATATCAAAATATAGCACAATTACTAGTCCTCCGTTGTCCCTGCTTCGTGTAACTTAGTTGAAAAAGTCTATGTGACGGGTCACACATGATCTCTTTTTGAGGAATCCGTGTTGTGATGGATTGATAAGTTCATGTTCTAGTAAGTTGTCTGACACTTGGTCTTTAACCACTTTCTCCATTATTCGTGATATTACCGGTGTTATATTAATAGGTCTATAGTTGCATGCACTGGTTTTGGCCCCTGCTTTGTGCTTAGCTAACATGTATGTGGTTTCCCACACTTCAGGATAAGTTCCAGTTTCCAGTGACAGAGCAAATATTCTAAGTAACAAGACTACCATTTCCGTGCTACCATTTTTGTATATGACAGATGGTATGTCGTCTGTTCCAGTACTGCCATTTGACTTCAATGTCTTAATCGCTGAGTCTATATTTTGTTTATTAAAATCCATTACTCCTAATTTGTGGTCACTTTTGCAGGTCATTTGGAAATTCGGGGTCGGGTGCACTCTGGTCTCATTGCAAAGCCACTCACGAATAATGAGAATGTAGACGAGGGTGTTCCGATCCCCTACCTAAATGAAGTAATATTGGGGTTCATTTTTATTGTCTAGTTCAAGCCTAAAATAATGGTTTGTATGCAAGGAGCTAGAGTGGCCACGTGGTCACGATTGGGTCTTTTGCTTGCAGACTACTTCTTAGCAAGTCTAGAAATCGGTCAGCTTCTGCTCACTATCCATAGTTTCCATATGTATTAAAGACACATGGGTGATACTTTCATCATGTGTGACATGAACACCAACATCGAAATGATAACTAAGGGTTTCAACATCTGCCATTGTGCAATTCAGTTCACATTGGAGTCAGATCGACCTACAGGAAACCAAAATAAAATGGCCAAAATACGAATTTTCATAAATGTGTCCTTTTGAGAATAAATTTAATTCTGATCAACTCCTTATCCTAAAGAATAAGAAAAATATGTTCTAGTCATACAATCGACCGGAAACTGTGACTACTCAGGCAAATCCTCACGGAGTTAAGGAAAAAGCCTGAAAGAATCCAGGCAGTGCCGAAGCAACTGCTATTTATGAACATTGAGATTAAAGTTGATAACGCAGCTGAGATCCTGAAGAATACCTGGTGCAGATCATTGCGAAAGGCCTTCTTTACCGCTAAGCTACGGATCAATTTCTACAGTCAGCAAATGATCAATGGATTTGTGAAGTATAAACTTCTGCTTTGGGCCTCTTCAGTGTGTGTTTACAAATTCACCTGCTCCTGCAGAGATATTAACATAGGCCGCGCAAAGCGCACAATCTCCCAACGCATCTCTGAACATCGTCCTGCATGATCAGGAAAAGGACAGTGCAAGACAATTACCATTTCAGTTCACGGGCACTTGGTGAACTCAGGTCACGTAGCTCCACCAGATTCGTCTCTCAAGATGACTTACAAGGTGAGGCCGAATGGTACAATGAGCGTCAGGTTTTGGCTTCTGTGTATGGCGGAGGTACTGTCAATCTGTGAATGCAACCCCGAACTCTGTACACAGAAAACGTTTGTCCGGTTCCTTAATCTACCATGCTTTTAACCTCTTCACTAGTCCTTCCCCGGAAAAAGTTTTGTTTTTCACTTTAATGAATGATTCATCATGGTCACTCCCATATTTTCCTTTAGTTTATTATCACACCCTCTTCAGGCTTGCTAAATTAACACTCAACCATTTTGCTTCTCACTCAATAACAATGTTATTTTTATCAAACTTCTAAATTCCTCCCTTTATGCCGTTACTTCAAATTTTGGAGAGACTTCTGAGTAATTACTTCAACTATGTCACCCCCTATTATTCACCAATAGATCCCTTTACATTCTTGGTAAATATAAATAGGACAGTAGAGCATGTGGGGATGGTTCCACGGATAAAGAAAATTTTCTTCGCTAAATCGTCTTTTATTTGCTCCTTGGCAAGAACTGTTCATGCATCATAGGTGACTATAGTAAAGCCCTCCTGTTTGGCCCACAGTACTCTAAATTTCCGTCCTACAAATGGGCGACAAGATGGAGTAGTTTTTCTTCATGCACTCAATTTCAAATAGTAGTGGGTTCACCTCTTATTTCTCGATCATCGACATAAAGAACCGACGGATGTTAGTTAATCATTGAACAACCTGCTGTTATGCAGAATTCTTGATGGAAGGCCTAGTATATTGTATTGTAGTGCACCGCAATATACGGCAGAACAAGAGGGGGACTTGGCGTGGGTTCTTATACTCTTTTTCCTGATGACAAGTTTTCATCTGAATAAGTAGGCTGCTGGTTATACCAACAGCTACCTCTGTTCCACCAATAGTGGGGTTTGAGCCATTTTATCAAGTACGCTGCTAAAATCTTTGTGGGCAGTTTTGACAGCTTTCTTGTCCCTGCATTTTAACCAGCTTCTCCCCACCGTTAGCTTCACGATACATGGCAGATTTCCCCAAAGACTGAGCGAATTACGTTGTCAAATGTCTGGGTCTAACTACACTGGACTTCACACTGTCCTTAGAAGACTTACAGGAACTATGCGCAATAACCAACGCAAAAAACCAGAACACAAAATGGTGACTCGAAACCCTTTATTCTTGCACCATACAGAGCAAACCATAAGGTTATTGTACACAAAGTCTAAGAATAAATGTCATAACAATAAATCACAACAATATTTATGATAGTTTTTCTGCGTCTTCCAATGAACAGCGAAGGATGGAACGATAACTGCAGCATCGATGACTCCCACCAATACACGTTGACTTGGATGCCAGTGCGGGAACCTGGGTCACACGGACAAAGCTGAAATGAAAAACAAACATAAAAGCCGACACCACAGCGAAATCTCACTCGTTGACGACGATACACGCCTACAGTTCGTTAACTCCCGTATTCTAATTATTATTCCCTATTTCCCCCTAGTTTTTCCTGAGCTAATGAAGAAAGACTATAGCTTATTACACAGGATGTTAAAGGTTTTCAGCGGGTAATCTACGTGCCACTTAACCAGCTTGTTAATATTCTGGTGGACAGGCGTTTGGACTCGTGTGAAAAATGGGCAAAATTCATTCTATCTAACTCACATCACCCTCTTCATTCAAAACTCTCCCCTTGTATCTCACCAGGTAATACCAGAAGCCTATATAGGAAACTATATGCTCGGACTAGTAAGTACAAAAACTCAACCATACCCTACTTAGCTCGTGTTCTGTGCGATAAAGAAAGTATTAGGCGTGAAGCCTTTAACTTATTCAATAGCCAGTAGAACAAATTGATCTTGTCTTTCCAACTCATATCATTTGTAGGTACGAAGTTTTCTTTCTTTTCCTTTACTGTCTCTTTTTCTGTTATGTGAAGCTTTGTATCCTCCTCCTGCTTACGACAGAAAATATGCTGGCAACTTTTTTAGTACCTTCAAACACACAGTTTAATTTTGGATTTGATACCGACATGCTAATATATGTTAGACAAAACGTCACAAAAACCGTTAATGCCCAGCTCTTGCTACGCCGGGCCTCTCCCTGTCCCTCGAAGCCTTTCAGAAATGCTTAGTACTAACGGACGCAAACCAAAACACCGACTGGCCACTCGAGAATTCTTTATTCTAAAACCAACATGTGATCAGCACAATAACTAAGGTCTGTGAACAAATATTACAATAATAAATCACGATATAACTTCTGACAGTTTTTTCCAGCTTCTTTCTGAACAGCGACCGATGAGACGATGACTGGTGTATTGATGCCTCCGCGAAAATATAGGGAAGTTGGGTTTGAGCAAACAACCATGAATTGATCATTCAGTCTTCAACTACATTGTCAATCTGAAACATAACGCTATCAGAGATTATTTTTGGTGGTCATGAGGGTATCTGTCAGCCGGTTAACAGTAGCTTGATACGAAGGATTTGTCATATCTAAGATTGGGCTTAGTGGTACTTTCCCTTTTTACGCTTCCGGTAGACTATATCAATGGGGAATTCTTGGGGTGGTGTAAACTAAGAAACTGAATATAAACAGCCGGAGATTGCTTAAAATTATTTGAGTGAATATCAAAAGACTGAATCGCTCTTCAAAACCAGACAGTAAATGAGAGCATTCTATCCTATATCCAAATATATGAGTTCTTATATTTCATTCTCTTAACTCTGAATTTACATTTGGAAGCCTTTTATATTACGATTTTACTAATCGAAAAGGAAATGTGAGATGCATTTTTGAGTAGAAACAATTTAATCGCATTTCCACAATAGGCAGAATTAATACTTTGTGGTTTCAAATATCCAAGGACGCCACTATTTTGAATTGGCACGTTACACATCTCTGAATTAATGCGCAATGAACGCGGATGAACCTAAACCGATGGTAAGCCTTATAATTTGTGCTGATAAGTCTCAGTATGTTAACTCATTGTTATTTCAATGCATAAATATATGACTTTCGTATAAAACATTTCAGTGGTTTTTTAAATTGCGTCGATTCAGAGGTAGGGATATATCTAACCTGTTTAATTCACACCGATGATTAAATTTTTATTTCTGTAGTGATTCATGTCGTTTTATTTAACTTATCCGAGCCAATTTAACTTTGAAATGGAGACATAGGTTGCAAACGTCATTTATAAGTTATGCAGTTTTCAGTAGTGAAAAACCACAAAATCTAGAGATGTTATTATTTATAAACCGGATTGGCCTTGACGGTTTTTCTTATCCTATTTTTCGTTAAGAGTTATTGGAGTTACATGCATATTTATTTAGAACATTCCTTAGATATTTAAAGCCACCCTCTTTATAGCCCAGCTAGCATTTTTTTTCGGGCGCATTGCAGACTTTTTGGGGCAGACTTAGGGCGCATTGCAGACTTCTTGGGGCAAACTTAGAGCAAATTGCAGACTTTTTGGGGCAGACTTCGGGACAGTGTCCCACGTAAGTAGATTTACCCGAAGATTTTTGCCCCAAGAAGTCTGCAATGCGCCCGAAGAAAATGCTAGCTGGGAGATAACGGCTAGATATTCGAGATCAACATTTACTTAATCCATATTCCACTTTTATACCTTTTGACTTTCGTGTTTGACTCTTCATGCATACTGTTTCAGTCACTTTTATGTAATTACTCACGCGTAATCACTCAAACACAACCAACCACTTTCCAACAAACTACTGCTCCATTACCATGTAAAATGCATAAAACTTTGGGTCAAATAAGATACATATATATATATGGGCGGATGAACACTTTTGTCTCACCACTTTCATAAAGTGATACATGGAGGATGAATTCCAACTGTTCAAGATTTTTTGTTAGCAGAAGCTGTTGTCACGGAAAACGATATTTATCGTTTAACTCGGAAAATATACGTCCGTTTGTTCCCAGAAGTTTCGTTGGACGTTATTCTTTCTTACTAACAGACACCGAATTCCAGACATAAACAACAACGATTGAAGTGCACAATATATCTTGTTTCTTGTGTTTTGATATCACTGAACTCTGCCTGACTTCATTATATTAAAAGAGTTAGTTTTTCGCCTGAAGTAGGGTTTGTCTTCAGGTTGTCCATTTCTGAAATGGGATCTGAATGCTTGTCTACTCTCAATGAATAAGGTTATTATTTTTACGCATTCAACGTAATGATAGTTATTCCCCTTCCTTTTGATATTAAAAAGACGATAGGAATAAGACGCTTTAGTAGGTGACTAGGAATAAGACATGTAACTAAAGTTAATCTCTTACTCTGGTCCGTTGAGTGGGAAGCATTGAAAGTTTCCCAACATTTGCATGCCCGCTTTCCTATAAAGTTCTAAGAAGATTTGGTAATTTGTAGAGAATCTCCACTGTTTTGATTGAAATAATGATAATATTTCCTGGTTATTCGGCGATTTATTTTTTTTGAAACGAACCATCTCATTTCACTTAGAATGGTAGGTTAGTTATATCTTGTGCGCTATCTCACTATGAATTGGAATAACTTTGACTACTGTGACTTATAGTAGAAATTCGATTCTTAATTATTCGCATAAATCTATTTCACCCTTTAAGTTATGTTAGCAGTAGGCTGTAGAATTTATTGAATATCCGAAAATCAAATGACATCACATCTAAGATGTATTCACAGAAGGTTTGCATAATAGTTTCATATATTCACCATATTGATGACTTGGTTATCATCATTACTAGGGATCCCGTTAGAAACGTATGCAAACATACGTGGCTTACAATATTTGGTTTTGGTCACGAAAGGTCCACAAATAAGCTAACTTTTTAAAAAATACATCTAGCTCCACTAATATCTCAAAAAGTAACTTTCAAGTTAACCAGGTTAAATTTCAGCAAAACCGACAAAAAAATAGGAATTGAAGAGAATAAGTAAGGGTGGCAAGTAGCTTTTTGCACACCTTTTAATGTACGATGGATCTTTTGCATATCTCTTGCAAAACATTCCTCTCCACTAACTTACGGAAGTATGACATGTTCACCCAGTTTTATTCAGAACAGCCACCTTAACCCTTTATATAGTCATCGGTTATATCAGTAGTTTTATAGTGATGAACAAAACACGTGAAATTTACTCAGCCAAACGGCCTTCGTGGAAATCGATTTTCTGTCAAGCTGTTTACTTGAATTCGGATTCACTTTTGGAGTTTTAAGAGATACACAAAAGTTCTGTGGTAGTTTTACAGTTCAGTGACTGAATTTTGTGTTACTTAAGGAAATTCAAAGTAATCCGAAAATGTTTAAAGTGAACCAATATTTCATATAAATACACTAAAGTGCTTAGAGAAGTTTAGACTTACAACTAAAATGTTTTTGAAACCTTGGTTACAGACGGGAAGCATACATTTTGAGTGACCATAGAATACAGGTAGTTCGCAATGTATTAGAAGAGCGAGGTACCTGAAGTAAAAGGAGCACACACCACACGATGACTAAGTCAAATCTTTCTAGCGAAAATTCGGAAAATTACTCTTACAGTATTACTTTCCAGTATAAAAATTTCTGCAATAATTCTCCATCTTAGGTTTGTTTTCTGCCCAAGAGATAAACAGAAAACTAAAACTTGATCTTCAGACTATAAGATGTGTGTGTAAGTCAAATTAATTCCAGTCGTTGTATTTTCGTCATAAACTAACATCTCTTAGAGAGATAATTGAAAACCGAAGAGCACTGGACGGCTTTTTCGTTGTATTTCGGGGTTCTTCATCAGTGCGCACCCACGACCCTGCCAAGAATCAGACCTAGGACCTTCAGGTTATGAGACCAAGCTCCAGCCCACCGGTAGCTGCTAGGCAGGTTTCCTGAAGTTGTGCATTGGAAAGTTGTTGTGACCAATAGGGTACCCTCATGTCAAGGTAAATTTGATACTCAAAGAAGGCATGGTTGATGGCAGTGGTGCATCATGAGTTGACAATTAGAATTCACTGACCACTGAATTGCAGGTCAATAAGTTTGGTCTCGTAGCCTGAAGGTCCCGGCTTCCAGTCCCGGTGGGGCGGGTCGTGTATGTGGCCTGTTGATGAGTCACCGTGTAAGATGAAACAGTGATCCATGGATTTTAATAATGTCTCCAACTGATGTTGATTCCTGACGAAAATATGAAAATTAAAATAAGACTAGACCGACTCTATAGTAACAGCTATTATTCAAAAGCTTTTTTAACACAAAGATATACACTCTTACTAACTTTTTGTTAAACAGGAGTTCTTAATCAGTTTCTCAAAGTAATAACTGTGTTACACACGTTAAGTTTTTTATCTTCCACAGTTGAAATTATTCAACTAAACTTAAAATGAGGAGAATGACGTCTAAGTTGCTCCTTTAATGCCAATAATAAGAATATTTAATACCACGTATTGTTTCATAAGGATGTTGAAGTGTCCTAATTTGGTCTAGTTAATAATTGTGTTGAGGTATTTTGAGTTGGTAATTTTTTCTATCTATCTGTCTGTCCATTATATAACTTTGTAGTAAATTTGAAGAAAAAGAAAACAACTGCTCCTTTCTTTAAAATGTCTATCATTCTTGTCCTCGCTTACTGTAATTAGAGATCCACCACAGTGCATATATTATTTTCATTTCCAGACTACATGCTTTATTCTTTCGTCTGTGATTCTATAACAGTACTATAGTATTTAGTAGTTGCATAACTTGAGATATGATATAAAGAAGAGTTAAACTTGCGAGTATTCTGTTCCCTTTAGTGTGAATGTTTTCTATTACCACTTTTGAAATTTCTTATTCTAGACAAGCTGAGTGCGTCGGTGGCATAGCGGTTAGGACGCTCGCCAACCATGCACATGGCCCGGGGTTTGATCCCCAGCCACCGACGCACTCCTTTACCTCGCTAAGCCAGTGATCAAACTGGTAAGAGAGAAGGTTAGGCATGAGGCTAGCAACCCCATCCTGTAAAACCAAACACTGCTACAGAAACTTCAAGTCTTCTAGCTTGAAGCCCTATGTTCCACTTGCAACGTGAAGGAAAAAAGACAAACTGAGAGTTTAAAGCAACTAGGTTATCTTGACACTAATGATTAATGGTATACATGATTTTTCAGTGACACTTTAGCTGTCTGTAACCTCTTTTTTATAACATTGGTTCGAAATTCTGTGTGTTTTATTTTGGAAATGATGGAGGGGATTGGTTTTTTGTAGCTTGGCTGGATGATTTCAGTGTAGTTGTGTCTTCTAAGTTGAATTTGTTTTTTTAACTGAGAAGGATTTATTGTTCTTTATTTTGAGATTAACTGTGAAGATCTCTTTTCTGAAGGCCATTTGAAGATTCTAAATTAAATTGCTTAGCTCACACCACATAAGAAAATTCTAAAATGCTACATGTTTAAGTACTTTATAGCGTGTTAATTTCATGCTTATTACAGAAACACCGTACTGGTTTTTCTTCCATCTCTTTGCATTCCAAGTAGAATATTTAGCTTCAAGCTTAGGCTTTAAACCTGTACTAGCTGAGGCTTTATCGCTTTTTATAGGCTGAAGTGTTGCTAGCGTCACGCCCACCCTCCTGCTCTCTACTAGGATTACTACCGTCTACGTAGGTTTCTAGGAGCATGTTGATTGGGAATTGAACCCCGGGGCCAGTCGGGTGGTCAGTGCATACCGTATCACTAAACCACCGACGCACCATTTCCCCCCGTAATTATGAACAGAATACTAATCTGGTTAAGATAAAGCATCCAATATAAGTTTATTTGCCTGTTTATAAAAGAAACAAGCTGAATGAAATACTTTGCTGGTTACCTTAGTGGTCATATATCATTTATTTATTCGTGGAATTAGATTGTTGTTTAGATATGGTGGCTACACACACTAATATTTAGTAGAGAGAGTGTGTGTTTGATTGATTGGGTAATTTGGTC